ATATAAGAATAAGTTATAACCGTCAAGTGACAAAGTAGTTGTACGATTGTAAGAGCCCCGGGTTCGTATAAAAAGTGATGAAGAGTTTGGAATGAATGAAGAAGTCCAAATATCCTTCGTTGACGACGTTTATATGGATCCCCAGGCAGACACTTACATGAGGCCGCGCATCCACGATGCCCTCCGCAGTCTGGCTCTTTTCGCCCTACCATCGGACATCTCCTACGAGTGCTACGTCGGTGCCTGAAGAGCTGAGGGCGCGCCCCCCAACAACGGTGACTGTGATTGTACGCAATTGCCATCATTCACACGCGTGCCCATGTCTCCGCCAGACCATCGGTCCAGGTGACAAAAGGCGAAATGCTCAAGGGAGCAGTGATGCGCAATTAGGCTGCACCCAGGGTAGTCCATGGTGTCAGAGTCCCGATTCGGGAGTAGGGGGGGCAATGGAGTCACCGAAGCGTTTGGGTGTCGCCGAGAAAGAAGTTCACCGAAGATGGCCAGTTCGGTGGGAGAACTGGGGGGGGAGACGCGTCAATTGAGGTGAATGACTGGGCCAGGCTGGATTGGCGTCTGGTACCGGTATGGGTGACCAGCCAGCTGCAAGGCTCATCAGGGCTCAGAGCCAAATGAGCAGGCAGGCAACGAACGAGTCACGCAAAAGAGGTCAAGGACGCGTGAAGCAGTGACGTTAGCCATGCCCAGACAGACTCGTTCAGTTTGGGGAAATGGAGTCTGGAGCATAGGTGAAGGGGCCTCAAGTCACCGGTCGCCTGAAACTGGACATAGTGTGGGGGCTGAGAGTGTGGGTGCCTGGCTTGGGCAGGCAGCCTTGGAAAAGAAAGTGTTCTGGAATCGCTCGCAAAAACGAAACGAAACACAAGAATGGAAAATGAGAGCTTGAAGGTCACATGGAAACAAACAATGGGAGAGGAGGCATAGGAGGCAGGGAGGCGGTGCTGTAAGACGGTAAGGCAGGCTGGGGGGATGTGGTGGTGGAAAGGTCCAAGGCGGTGGGGCTTTGATCGTAACTCAATGTGGGCTGCATGTTGCCTGCCGTCAACAGGGCTGTACAACTCCAGGCCAGGCAGAGACGAGTCATCGACTGTCCCACACAGTAATGCGCAATCGCGCATACCACCCTCTTCGTAGTATTGGGGCCCGGGAGTGCATCGCACCGAATTGACTGTCCACGACGCGGGCCGTCTCCATGTGCTGTGGATTCACCAACCGAGAAGAAGACTCTGCTTCTCTTGCAACTCTCTCTCATTACTTTGGGGTATCATTATAAGGTTACCATCCGTGCTGCTATGCAAGATTTCGAGACTGGATTCTCAACCCATCTGGGCAAACACCAACGCAAAGGCCCTGCCATTGCCAAATGACATCTAATCCCAATACTTCAATACGCCATTGAGGTCACCCGTCACCACCTTGGACGACTCTCTTGGATGCCATTGCACCGCCAGAACAGGAGCATCACTTGCTTGAATCTTATGCCACATTTTGCAAGTCTTCCAGTCCCAGAAGCAGACATAACCACCACTGTCACCAGAGCTGATAAACTGCCCATCAGGGCTAATGGCCACATCTGGTGCGTATCCAGCCACGTTATGACCCCGATAACTCTTCTTGCGGTTCTGCCTGAATCGATCGGTGGAGGAATATACCGTGATTTGGTTGTCGGACGATTGGAAGGCAACGTATTTGCCCGACGGATGCGGCGAGGAGCGCACCATGGAAAACATGTAGGGCTCTGCGATGAACTTGATGGGCACTGGAATGCCGTATTCCCATGCGCGCAGGGACTTGTCGTCGGATGTTGTGATGAAGCGGCGATCCTGTGTTTGTTAGTCGCATGCCCTGGGCAAAGAAGCGCAACACTTACTTCGTCGCAGAAAGTGATGGTATTGACTGGACCCAGGTGATGATCGTATTCCTGCACCATCTCCCCGCTTCGCGTATCGTACTGTAAGATCTTCTTGTCGCTCATACCGGCCAGGAACTCGTGCGGTTTGCTTGGATTGATGCGCACAACGTGGGGCGTCTTTCCACTCGTGAACTTGTTCAAGCACTTGCCCGTCTCGGTATCCCATAGCTTCATGAAGCGATCATAACTGGCGGATAAGAATTGTGTCCCGCTTGGATTGAAGTCAATGTCATTGACCGACTTGGTGTGTCCAGAGTAGGTCCGCAGTAGTTCGCGCTGATGGTACACATCCCATAATGCAATTTTGGAGTCGGCAGATGCTGAAAGAAGTAGATGACCGCTGTCGGGTATGAATCGTACTTGTGTAATCGACTTTGTGTGGTACTTGTAGGTGTGCAGAAGCTTCTTAGGGATGAAGTTCTTGGGTTCGTAATCGCCAGTGAGTCTGATGTCTAGGTCTGGGGCTCGTCAGTAAATGGTAAAGGGCGATTCAAGCGCTGAGAACGTACCGGTAGGCACATGCATGTATGTGCGACCCTGATAATCGTACTGCTGGCTGCCCATGAACGCGCTCGTCTCTGCCTCCGCTTCTGTGTCGTGATAATCCGTCCCTGCCAGTTTCTTCGGTGCAGCCTCAGGTTGCTCCTCAAGTTCATCCTCCTCATATATTACCTCGACCTCCTCATCACTGCCAAACTCGTCATCCGAGCCTGCATCTGGTCGTTCCTCTTCGAATTTCGCCCAGGGACCTTTGTAGGCGCCAGCTCCAGAAACAACGCCCGAGTCTCCTTTTGCTTCGCGCTTTCGCTTTTTCGAGTTCGAGCCGCTTTCGATCGCTCGATGGCCTTCTCGGAATGTGTGGTCGCTAATATATGTTTCTGCCGCGAATCCAGTGGGCACCCTGCCTGAGCTTCCACCAGCCATTTGCGAGCAAATTCGTGGGGATACAAGTCTCGACGGGGACTTAATGTATCGATCGTCGAGGGAATTCGGAGCTAGTTTGTTGCAAAGTGGCACAGTTGCAGGGTTGCAGAGGTAGCCAGAGAGGCTTGCGCGATGACCAGAAATTATGCATGACTAAGCGTGCCAAGACCGAGCCTTCTGTTCTGTGCGGTCGGTCATTCATGTACAGACAAAAAAGGCTATCAAATCGCTATCATAGCCGTCAGAACATTAAGTCGTCCACGTGATCCAGCCATGCATCTCCCCAAAAGAACCCTCCCATAGCCTCCATAACCTCAAACCCAGGTCCAACATTATCCAGATTCAGCGCAGCCGCCTGCCCATGCTGCAATATGCGTCACGCGTGGCTCTACCAAGCGAGCCGGATATCATATATGTCTTGCCTCGTTCCGTATCACTCACTCAAGTGTGGCGCTCATTCTCACAAAAGCCACTACGGCTACCATGGCTACCACAGTCGGAAGAGTTCCCGACTAGTGAGACTCGTCGCGGATAAGAGCAACGATCATGCTGTAGAGGTAGAAGAAGAACATGAGCAGGTGGAAGCCCAGCTTGATGAAGGATTCCTGTGGGCTGTTAGCCAGCTGCAATTTGGCTAGCTTGGACGCCTGCAATGCTCCATCCGTATGCTAAGGATGCAGACAAGGCATGCCCTGCGGTCCCTCGTACCTTCTTGTGCACATTGAGTTTCCTGAAGATCTCCGTTGCGTCTAGGAGATGCTGGTTCTCGAAAATCCTGCAACAGTCAGTCTATCGCTCCATGGCTTCGGCAGTCTACCATGCACATACTTCTTGCCGTTCCAAGCCAACAGCGGTAGGTTCAAGATGAGCGCAATCCAGTACCCATTAATGAGGAACAGGAAGGTCAGGAATGCGTGGACAGCGGCTTCGGGGATAATGTAGGTGTTGAGACGGTTGCAAAGATCGATGGGGTTGATGTAGTCGCTGTCGCAAAAATTAGCATGTGCTCCACGACCAGTGCGACTGGCTCTGGCGCATGTCGCGCGCTGGAAACCCTCGGCTGTACTACGTACCATTCCAAGTCGCTGTACATGATAGTGAAGAACACCTGAAGGAAGAGGTTGACGGCATTTATCAACACCGCCAACAGGTATAACCACGCTTCACCAGTCATTGTGGAAGCTGTGTGTGCGGCGTAGACACGGGGATCGTATGCGTGGTGGATAAGTAAGGTAACTTGGCAGGATCGCCAATGGAGCTCTCAGCAAAGGAAGAGAAGAAAGAGGACACGAAGTGTGGTGAGGTCTGCTATGATAAGGGCTCGGATTCCCGTTGTGTGTTTGCAGACGATCTCGACGGGCTAGACGCGGAAAGCCAAGTACCAGGCAGCTCGTGAGTCGTGGGTCGGGTACGTCTAGGCGGGGCGTGGCCCTGGTGGTGGTGTGGCTGGAAGGTGGGATGACGTATTTTCCCGTTGACAGAGTTGGGCGAGCTTTTGGACAGTCAAGTGAGTCAGAGCGAAGAGCAACAACACAGGGGGGCAACGTCGATGGGGGCGAAGGAGGTCAAGATAGGGTGGCAGGAAGGGCAGCAAAAAGGTGCTTGGATGACGTTGGGGCGGAGCCTTGGGTTTCTTCTTCCCTGGCCTGCCAGCCGTGCCCAGGGCGCTGTCGCTAACGAACGTGTGCGGTTAGCGGGCCAGTCCTACTAGGATCGCAAGCGACATGAGATGATTACAGCATCACAGTCTTCGCAGATGCAATGGCATGCGTGAGGATAGTGAACAAGGAAGTGTGTGAGGGGGGGCTTGTTATGTATCCCTTTCGAATTGTCTCGTGACATGGCCATGGATTACCATGATCGGCCCAGGCAAAGGTAATTGTCAGTCACCACTACCACGACCACCGACTCTATCAATTGTACAAGCCCCGTCATTCTCTGCCTTTTCTGTGCATCCTATTGGACAGGCCTCGATAGGTGGATTGATTCGACCGCGAACATGCTTTCCACAGTATTTTGCTACACGATACATGACTATGCTTAGATCATCAATCCTAGCACCCAAGGCTTCTCCAGAACACCAACTCATCAACTCATTATGCTCGTTACTCTTACATTTCAAAACCACCGATGAGTGGTAGATCTATGCAGCGGCCTTCGCTTCCCCGATGGCAGGTGCAGGTGCAGGCGCAGGCATTGGTACTGGACCGCCGGGCGAGTCTGGTAGCCTTGCCGTCAAAACTTCTACGCCATCCTCTGTCACGAGCAAAGTGTGTTCTGTAGTTCAAGTCAGCTGAATCCCAAGACAGTCATGCATGGCAAACTGACCAAATTGTGCGGTCAAAGAGCCATCCTGAGTTACACTAGTCCAGTCGTCTGGCCATGTCTTGTCCCTGTGTGTACCAATGCTGATCATCGGTTCGATGGTGAAGCACATGCCTGGCTTAGCCTGTCCGATGGCCTTGTTCTTTGCGTAGTGAGGCACGTTGGGTGCGCAATGAAATAGCTGGTTGATGCCGTGCCCACAATAGGTCCTGATGACACTGCAGTTCTGGCTCTTGGCATACTTCTCAATCACGTTGCCATATTCGCGGAAGAGCGTGCCTGGCTTCACAATTTCGATGGCCTTGTTCAAACAGTCTCGCGATGTCTCCGTTACGCGTACTGCATCTGGATTTGCCAGCGCCTTGTCTCCAATATAATACGTCTCGTTCAAGTCGCCGTGGAAGCCGTTGTGGTAGAGTGTGACGTCAATGTTGAGAATGTCGCCGTCTTGCAGAACACGCTGGTCTGGAATGCCGTGGCAGATGACCTCGTTGACCGAAGTACATACCGACTTGGGGAAATGGCAGTAGTTGAGAGGGGATGGATATGACTGAGCCGTCGGTGTTAGCCTGTTTCCACGCCCAGAAGTAGTCATGGAAACACTCACGTTTCGCTCCATGCATGCCTTGTGCACAATCTCATCAATGTAATCCGTTGTGACCCCGGGTTTCGCAGCTCGTGCTGCAATGTCTAGCACCTCTCGTCCCAACCGACATACCTTGCGCATGCCCTCTTGCTCCTCCTTGTTCAAAATGGCAATTTTGTTCCTGTTGACAAACACCTGCTCGGAGCGCGGTATGCCATCTTTTGCGTAGTCTGGCAGTTTGATGTTGTCGGGCACCTCGCGTCGCGGTGACAGTGGGTATACGGGTCGTAGGGCGCCGGTGTATGGGAAGGTGGGGAAAGGGTTGAAGTGGCCCGTCGCTGGATCCGGGTAAGAAACTACTTTGGGCGTGAAGATACTTTGGAGAATACTACTTTGTGACTTGTGCTGTTTCTTATGCTCGCTCTGTCCTGTGTTAGTCTTTTTTCTTCGGAAGTTGGAAGTTGAAAGTTGGAACCACTGTTGGCCTTTCTTGCTACATACCCAGTTGCGCTTGAAACACTCTTGCGAGCAAAAGTAACTCTCCTTTCCTAGCTTTTGGCAGTTTGGACATTGCAGCGAGCCGGCGTCGTTTTCGCAGTCATTGCCGGAGCACTTGCGTGGGGTGTCGGCGGTCATTGTGCGCAACAAAAGGAGTGCTCAGCTGGGAGGAGGACGGGGTATGTGAATGATGACTATGACTACATACACACAGAAGAGAGCATTTATAGCACGCGTGTAAGGAACTGGGCAAGACAAACACCGGACTCCGCGCACAAGTCTGTCGTGATGGCAGTCGTCTTGTACGCGACCACGGCCAACGCCGCACCTTGAATTCGGAATTGCGTGCAAGGATGATTGTTCTAACGTTAACGGCCGCTGCTACGAGGTTAACCACGCTTGCCCGAATCTGGCCGTTGGTGCATCATCTGTTCTCGATCTCGCCGTCTCATCGGACTTTTTTTTTCCCTCAGCTCACAAAAGAATAATACAATGTGTCACCACTTCGACTCATGGCAACTAGTTTGCACTTATAGGGACACGCTTCCCGTCTCCTCAACAACATCAACACTCTTGTTCTTTCTGTCCAATTGACCTGCTTGAAGAGACGGAAATTGTGGCCCTTCCAATCACTACGATGCCTCAAAAGGTCGTTGTAGTAGGTGCTGGACCAGTGGGGTCCTTGGCCGCCATATATGCTGCAGTACGCGGTCATGATGTTGAGGTATATGAGCTACGCGCAGGTATGTCTTCTCGCTTTTTCTTCCTACTGTTAGCGATGATGATGATGATTGATGGCATGTAGATATTCGTCAATCCCCTAGCACGTCATTGAGTTTCTCCAAATCCATCAACCTCGCGCTGTCCGAACGGGGCATAAATTCTCTTCGTCAGGCAGGTCTCTCAGAATTAGAAGATGCAGTGTTGTCGCAGACATTTCCTATGCAGGGCCGCATGATTCACGTGCGCAAAAATGGAGAATACATCCGCCAGTCTCAGCAATACGATGCCAGAGGCAGAGTACGCCAGACAACCCCCGCATCCCAGCCCTCTTCTAACGTTGACAGAGTCTGCTCGCTATGGACCGGACTGAACTCAGCAAAACTCTCCTTGATCATCTCGAGGCAATGCCTAATGTAAAGCTCATTTTCAATCACAAACTCGTTGGTGTAGACTTCAACAAGAAGATTGCCTGGTTCGAATATCGACCCAAGTCAATCGAGCAGCAAGGCAATGAGTTTGAGATCAACTTTGATCTTATGATTGGCGCAGACGGTGCTCATTCCGCTGTACGATATCAGCTCATGAAATTTGTGCCCATGTCTTTCGAACAGGAATACATCGACAAGCTGTGGTGTCAATTCCACGTACCACCTTCGTCGACTGGAGACTTCCGGATACCTCCAAACTATTTGCATATTTGGCCTCAAGATGAATCAATGTTTATTGCACTGCCCAATCTGGACAAAACATTTACCGCCACGCTCTTTTTGACTAGAGATGGCTTTGAGCAACTGGACGCTTCGGGGAAAGTTGTTGAATATTTCGCTCGAAAGTTTCCTGGAGTCGTCCCCGAGCTTATCAGTGAAGACGAGCTCCGAAAACAGTATGCGACGAATCAACATCTTCCTTTGATCTCGATCAAATGCTCTCCATACCATTACGGCGCATCTGGAGTCATTGTCGGCGATTCAGCCCATGCCATGGTGCCATTTTATGGTCAAGGCATGAATGCAGGAATGGAAGATGTGCGCGTATTGTTTGGCTTCCTCGACAAACACTCTAGCGATTGGTCCAAGGCTTTGTGTGAATATACCAAGGAGCGTGCCCCTGACGCACAGGCAATAAACGATCTAGCATTGGGCAATTATCGTGAGATGGCATCCGACGTCAAGAAACCGCTGTATCTCTTACGAAAATGGATCGAGGAACAACTCTATGTCTATGCACCCAGCCTAGGATGGGCTACACAGTACTCGCGGGTAACGTTCAGTAACATGCGATACTCCGAGGTCCGCTTGGCCACGCAGAGGCAAGCACAGATACTCAACGGCCTTGTCGGTTTCGCACTTGCCTCTATGGCAGGATCTGCATTCTGGTTCGCCAAAGCAGGTGGTGCGCACAAAGCGAAAATGGGAATATTAAGATCTATTTGCGTAATAGCGCAAAGACTCCAAAAAGTTGTCAAAGGCTAAATGGGTTCAAGTTGTTAACAAACTTGTCCTTGTCGGATCTCGACATCTCCTCCGCGCCCATCGCTGCCTTTGTTCCTATCCAACTCTGAGTAAAGGACATCGCCAGTAAAGATAACACCTAGATATGCCTCAAGCTCCTTCGGGATTGCTTGATTGGAATACCTGGAAGACATTGCCTCGTCGTGATGACGTCCGTGTGGCCAGGACATTTGCAATCAGACCTCGTCACTTTGATAAATCGATTCAGAAATTACAGGGGTGCTTTCAGGAGTGCATACACACAGCACAGCCTGCTCATCGGCTACTTTATTGGACCCGGCCAAACGAGGTTTTAATATGGCAAGCCACACTAGCTGCACACCTGCACCCCACAATGTGGAGAGGAGTTGGAACTACATGCATACATGCTTGCCAACGACGGTTCAGAACCAATGTGCGCCTTCTGAAAGACAGATATGCACAAAGCTGAGACAGTGCGGCGGAAAAGCGCTGTTGTGTAAAGACGAACGCTAACCCAGGATACCCCAGAATTTCATATTCACAGTTGGCTGCAATATATCGATGAAATACAGCATGTATTTTCGATTACTTTAGTGCTATCTAGTTATATCATTTCAATTATACGGTCGCCGAGTGCGTGGCAACCGATCGGCTATGCGTCCTCCTGATCAATACTTTATCTTTGACTCTATAATCTATACGGGTAAACAGATCAACCTCTCACAAGACACTCGAGGGTGTCAATCACAGTTTCAGACCTTCCACAAACGGGCTTTACACCGTAGCCACATCATTCTCCGATGAGGTCCACTCAAGAATGTGCCATGAAGGCTTCGCATTGCAATCAAAGGCTTCTCCCTGGACCGTCCCATGTTCCAGACGGGCCGTCACCGCCTCAACACCTCATAATCGGGTCCATTGCAATCAGTCACGCGTGGCAATGTGCGCTAATCTGGGTTCTATTCTGGTATATCTTGCACACTCGCTTGTATATCGATGCGGTTCTTGCGATGGACCCGGAATGTACAAATTGTTCAGACTTGGCAAGCCCGTCGAGTACAATAAGCTAACCTCCAGTCACTTTCAAAACAAAAAGCCAGCTCGTCACACATTCTTGTCTTCTCGATACTTCAATAATCTGGTTTCTGGGCGCTGAGAATTCTCCATTGACTGTTGCTGGACTTGGATCATTTTCAAATTTTCTCATCTCACAACGCACGCGGTCAAGCATGCGCGCCTCACTCGGGCTTGCGGCTTTGGCGGGACTTGGTCAGTCTCGAAGCTCTCAAACTAAGAAAAAATACTAATACCACTTCTTAGCCATAGCACGACCATCAACAGATGCGCACAGCTTAGCAGCGCGCGCAGTCACGGTTGTTGATGCAGAAACTGGCTTCACCTTCTCCGAGTCCAAAGCCGCTGCCTCACTCTCTTCAAACATCGTGTATCGTATTGCCCAGCCCGCAAACGTCCCAGCCGGTCAGCCATACGACATTGTACTTCAAGTGATTGCCCCAAATTCGCTGGGCTGGGTTGGCCTCGCATGGGGTGGTGGCATGGTGAAGAACCCACTCACGGTCGCATATCCGAATGGACAAAAACCCACCGTTTCATCCCGATGGGCCACGTACGTACCACCATCCCAAGAATCAGCACATATCGCGCCCTTTCCTCCCCTCTCCCCTACAGTAAACCAATTAACCTCATATCTTAGCGGCCACTCCACACCCCAACAATACCCCGGCGCAACCTACACTCCCCTCACGACTGGCAACAAATCCAACTCCACGCACTGGCAATTCACAGCAAAGTGCACAGGCTGCACATCCTACACCGGCAGCTCCGGCGCCGTCCGTATCGATCCCAACAGCAGTAAGCGTTTGGGATATGCATGCTCCCCTAATAAAGTCGCATCTCCTGGTTCTCCTTCTTCTACGATCCCGGTGCACGATGTTTACAACTACATCACTCATGACTTTTCCGCGGGCGCCAATCCAAATTTCGCGGCCTTGCTGGATAGGAATGGGGTTTCGGGTGCGGAGATGCGGGGAATGTGATGTGTGAGGCCCGGCATTCCGCGTATTTTTTTTCGTTCTGGAAGGGAGGGGGGGATGGAGAAGGAGGAGCTGGAGGAGAAGTAGTTTGAGAAGAGGGAGAGTATCAAGGGGGGTGGCTAGATTTTTTATGGCTTGCATTGTATTGATTTTGACATTTTTCATTACAGTTGATAATATTCTCTGCTCCCTCGCTTCGGAAGTGTACTTCGCTATTTGCCCTGCATATGCGGTGAGTACAAATGGGTGTTTATTCTAGTGTCTTGATCATCACCTGTCACTATAACCTCCTGTGCAGGAAATGTCTCTGAAAGAGGTTCTACCAGAACCCCCTAATTTACACAATAAGATATGCTGATACTCCACCCACAATCTCCAACACCACTATCAACATCAACAACTAATCAGCTCCCCTCCTAGCAATCACAACAGAGTAAACAATCCGCGAAAAAAAAAGGTAAAAATTCAAATGATTCAGCTATCTACGTAAGTATGAAGGCATGTGTAACTAAGCACCCAAACACAAACAAAGCCCACAAACCGCACAAACTTGCGTTATTGAGACGGTCATCCACCACCGCTACACTAAATCTACGTCTCAATAATTGCAAACAGCCGCACCTCATGCCTTCTTGGCTACAGCACCAAGCGGCAGCTCCTTGAGCCCTGGTCAGGTGTTAGCACAACATCTCGAACAGACGGATGTGAAGAAACGGAAAGGGGGGAAGTCAACTTACAGCCGTCGACATCTTCGGGAGCCTGCTGCGGCTTCTTGCAAGCGTTGTATTGCTCAGGTGTCTGTACGGTGAGACCGGCTTTGGGGCACGCGGTGTTGAGGTTGCAGTTGTTGTCCATTGCTTTTTGGAGGGAGTCGCCTTCCCAGCCGAAGACGTAGTCACCATGGGCGGCGGGGCCACTGGGGGAGAAAGTGTGTTAGTGGGCGTTTGGAGGTGTGGGTTAGGGGGAAGTGGGGATGGTTGGTGGTGGTGGTGCTCGAGCCCCCAAAAACCCGTTGTTTTTGGCCACCAGGCAGTGGAAGAAGAGAAGGCCGAGGACAACACTGTGGATGACGTTTCACAGGTTGACCGTATCTCACTGCAGGAATTCCTTGACATGACCAACATTCGCTTCATGGATCCTACTACGACGAAGCGGAGACACACTGCCGCTCCTGCTGCACTTCATGACCTGG